GCGTCCGCGCCGCCGGAACTTCGCATCCGGAGCCGCGGGAGTCGGCGGGGCCGCGAGGACGGTAACGCTGATTTCCCACCCGGAAGAGCGTCCCTGCTTCCGTTTCCTTGCAGGCGGATCCTTCCGCCCGACAAGTAGCGCTGTGGACCCGCGCGCCGTGCTGTTGCTTCCGGCGTCGACTTGACGCACTTCCGTGCGGCCGTACCGTCGGAGGTGAGGCAAATTCCCCCCGCCGTGTCTGCCGCCCGCGGAGCCAGCTTCCCTCTTCTCCGGAGGGCGGCGGTCCGCTAGGCCTGCTCCGGCCTCTTTCCTGCTTGAGATCTCCGGGGCCGGAGGGCGGGTTCGGGCGGAGGCCGCTTTGGGCCCAGGCCCCGGAGGCTTGGGAGTTGGCTTCGGGTGGCGCCTTGGCCCCACAGGCCGGAAGTGACACGAGTCGCCTTCGGGCCGTTCCCGGAAACCGTGGTGCCCGCCGCGTCCTTGGCCGGGTGGGGCGGGCGGTGCCGGTCTCGAGCGCGCCTGACGGGCGGTTTCTGCCTCGCCCTCCAGTTGCAGGACTTGGACGGCATGCTGGGCTCCGGGTTCAAGGCCGAGCGCTTGCGCGTCAACCTCCGTCTGGTCATCAACCGTCTGAAGTTGTTGGAGAAAAAGAAAAGTAAGCGGACGCGCGCCTGTGCCGGGCCGAAGCCTGCCGCTCCCGTCCCTTCCGTTCCCGATTACCTCTCCCCGTTCCCGGGGATGCGTGAGGCTAGCAGATTATTTCCTGCTTCTTTGTTTCTCAGCTGAGTTAGCCCAGAAGGCCCGGAAGGAAATTGCCGATTATCTGTCAGCTGGCAAGGATGAACGGGCTCGTATCCGTGTGGAGCACATTATTCGGGAGGATTATCTGGTGGAGGCCATGGAGATCTTGGAGCTATATTGTGACCTGCTTTTAGCTCGCTTTGGTCTAATTCATTCAATGAAGTAAGGCCCTGGTAGCAGAAAGAAGCTTCTGGGAGAGGAAAAGCAGTGTTCTGGCAGGCTTTTCAAATGAAGATCTGCTTTTCGAGATATAAAGTGCTTTGGGGCTACATCTTGCATAACTTCATACTGTTTCTGCAGGGACATGGACCCTGGCCTGGCAGAAGCAGTGTCTACCCTCATCTGGGCAGCTCCTCGACTGCAGTCAGAGGTGGCTGAGCTGAAAATCGTGAGTAGTGCCAGCTGTCTGAAAAGCAGACTCTGGGTTGCCGCACAATTTCAGTCTTTCTTTTTACTTTCCTTTGAAGTTAAGGGAATGTGATTCTTTCCAAACCACTTGAGAATTTTCTTGGTTTGCTTGAGATTTAAAGCTAGTTCCTCTGTCTCTAAGCTTAGGCCTTCTGACCAGGAAAGAGCCATAATGTTTCTCTGCTCCACTTTATGGGATAGCCAATGAGTTCTGGTCTCTCTCTTAAATGTGCTATTTTTGTGCTAGGTTGCTGATCAGCTGTGTGCCAAATACAGCAAGGAATATGGCAAGCTATGCCGAAGCAACCAGATTGGAACAGTTAATGACAGGGTGAGAAGAATGGGGAGGATAACGTGCTTGGTGGTGAGATGGCTGTATGTAGGGTGTCTCAGGAACAAGTTCCACAGGGTGGGAATTGTGGTGATGCATAGAGAGAAGTGATAACGAGCCTCTCCTTGGAGTTTTGTATTTTTTTTTCTTGGGTGATAAAAGCTGGTAAAAGCTGCCATCCATGCTTAGTTCAATGGCAGGGGTAACAAATTGACTCCTTTTCCTCCTCCTTGTCGTTTAGTTAATGCACAAACTGAATGTAGAAGCGCCTCCTAAAATCCTGGTGGAGAGGTACTTGATTGAGATTGCCAAGAACTACAATGTGCCCTATGAACCTGATTCTGTAGTCATGGTAAGTAGAAGTGCAGGAGGCTTCCTCACCGCAGTGTGATGTGGAGGGTCTGTTCTCAGCTGGCACAGTTCTGTGAAAAAGAGTGAAAAATTTAGTTTTCCTGTACTTTTAATACCTATGCTACTGAATATTTTTGGAGCTTCATTTGGGCATTAATAATACATAAATGGAGTCTGAGCAAACAAGCAACAAGCAACACCAGCATTTGATCCTAGCTTCGCTTTTTTCATAGACGTGTCAGAGTAGAAAAATAATTGTGTCCCCCTTCACTCAGCCTAATTAAAGGGGAAGGCAATAGCCAGTTGTGTGAGGACTGTTTTGGGGTAGCCCTGTCCTAGAGAAATCTCAAAACCTGTGCTCGCCCGATCACAATGAAGTTTTCACTATGTACATTCATGCCCTGCTGAAAGTAAATTTCTTAAAATGACATCAATCAGTCTGGAAAAGGTTTCCAAATAATTTCTGAAGTATGAAGGCTCCAGCAATCTGCAGTTAGACACACAGCCTTGAACTGGAGATGATGATAATTCTTCCTAAGAGTGGTTATCCTTCAAAAATCCCTCCTAAGAGTGCAACGTAAAATTGTTCAGAAACTCACACCGTTTTTGGAGATCTACGTGCCTCTCAATAACCTTCCAGACTTCTGGAAAAATTCTCTATGGACAGATGAGGCAGAAATAGAATGTTCAGGGCTACGCAAGTATTACATCTGGTGGAGTCCAAACTTTTCAGTTAGATCTTACACTAATTATTAGGCGTCATGGTTTGGTGATGGTTTGCTACTTGGATAGTTTACATCATTGAGGAAGGCATGAACTCTGCTTCATGTCAGAATTCTGTGAGAAATTCTATGAATTTCAGGCCATTTTTCTGACATCTGAAGCACATGGGTCAAACGGCAACAGCGATCCATAGAAGCAAGTCTACAAGATGACTGATGAACAAATTTAGTATTTTGGAGTGGCCAAGTCAAAGCCACATCTAAACCCTATAGAAATATTGTGGCAGGACTAAAATCAGCAGTTCATGCTAGAAAAACCTCAACAGTTACTGAGCTGAAGCAGTTCACCATAGAGGAATGGGCCAGATTCCTACGCAGTGATGTGAGAAACTGATCACCAGTTAAAGAAGTGCTTGATTGCAGTAACTGCAGCTAAGGGTAGGGCAACCAATTACTGAGCCATGCGAAGGGTAGGGTGACCAATTACTGAGCCATGCGGGCAATTCCTGTTTCACAGTGGTATATCATACGTTGGATGATTTTATGTAATGAATGAAAACTAAAAACTTTGGTGTTACTTCTCCATTTAAGATGTCATTTATGGATCATTAGGATATATATGAAGCTTTGTTAATGTTCAGTAGCAAGTGTTCAGAAAAACCCAAAGGGAGGGAATACTTTATCACAGAGTTGTATTTATTTATTTAATCAATTTGTATAGCCACCCATCTCAACAAGTTACTCTGTATATTAGCGGCGTCTTTCCCACTTGTGAGATTGAACCATCTTCTTTCTCAGGCTGAGGCTCCTGCAGGTGTAGAAGCAGACCTGATTGATGTAGGATTTGTGGATGACATCAAGAAAGGTGGCGGCGGCGGCTTCATGGCCCCATTACCTGGACCTGAAGGAGTCTTGCCCCACCCGATGCCATCTCCAGTTCCTCCTTTCTCCTACCCGTGTCCGAAGGGGCCGGTAATTAACTAAATCTTGATCTGTACAGGGCTCTGGAGGTGGGTAGTTTTGCTTGGGGACTGTCTCGCTGCCAGTGTGTGAGACAGTTTACAACGGCTTTTCTTTCTTGGAGATGCCTAATTTTCTCTCAGTGAGGTGCATCTGCTTTGGCACTGGGGTCTAATGGAGCATTCTAATTCTCTGCAGGAGAGCTTCAATGGGCTACCTGTGGGTACCTATCAACCATTCACTGGCCTTCACCCTCCTCCAATTCCAGCAATTCCTCCAACATATGAATCTGTAAGTTGTCACCCAGGGAATATGTAGGTGATGTGTGTCCTCTAAGATTGTGCATGAAATGAAAAATATGTTTCTCAGCTGAGAAAAACCATCATGTTCCACAAGTTCTACTAAACTGTTTCAGACTAGCTGCAGTCTGGCAGAAACTAAATTCAGAAACTGAGCCAGGTAGACAAAACTGGGGCATGTTGCTCCCTTTTCCTCTTCTTCCTTTGCATACCCCTGATCTTCCCAGTACCTGCGAGGAACAGTTCACATCCAGACAGTTTCGTATATCCCTAGTCTCCTCTGTAGCTGCCTGTTTGTTTCTTCTTTTGGGCTGCTGAGATTTTGGGCTGGGGCTCTGGTCGAGGACTACTTGCGAGAGGTGCTTTTTCTGCTTGTTGCTGAGGTGCCAACGTTGCCTTTCAAGGCTTCCTTCTTACTTGCTATGTTCACCTGCCTGCACACTTTGCTCCCTTCCATTAGTGATGAAATATTTTCCTAGAGAAAGTCTGTGTTCCCTGCCCCCTCTCCCCCCATCCTCAAAGATAATCCTGTTCTGCAGAAATATTGCCTTTCTATCCCACCCAGCAGCAGAGCTTTGGGCTTTGACTCCTGAGGTGGAGAAAAATGTGCTTCCAAGTCCTCCCAGCCTGGGCAAATAGACAAAGGCCACATGGCTTTACAGCAGAACCTCTGGAGGAAGTATTTAGCATGCTGCATGCCAGGACTTTCTGCCAAATCCATTTGTGCCTGTTTCAGGTGGATGATGGGAATACTGACAAGGAAGCACCATCTTTACATGTGACTGGTAAGTCCAGAGAAGTTCAGGGAGCACCAGCTGAGGCCTTGTTTGTCACTCTGGTAAGACATGCTGAGCTGCTGTATTTGGCATGGGGGAATGCCTCCCCTGCTGTCTGGCCACTGTTCTGCTACTTCCCACTGGGCCTAGGAGCAGCAGCTCCTGTTCTGCATTGCCTTGTACAAGCCTACCCAAGGCTTGTAATGTCTCCTCACCTGCCTCTCTGCCACAGGTCCACACGTGAAGCCAGAAGCCAAGGGGCAGCCACCAGTCCCCATGCCCCGTTCAGGCGATCGCTTTGTGTTGCCAGAATTGCCATCTGTGCCAGATACACTGCCTGCTGCTTCTGCTGGCACCAGCACATCTGCCTCAGATGAGATTGACTTTGATGATCTGTCCCGGAGGTTCGAGGAGTTGAAGAAGAAAACTTAAGAACTATGTACCCTGTTGCTATAATGGGTGCTCTTTCCTCATTTCCTTGTCTTCCTCTTGGCCTTTCTTCTTGCTCTACTTACACCAAATTGTGCTGCTCTGTGGGTACTTTGGAGTCCCTTTCAGATGGGAGCGAGAAACCATTCCCCTGTGCCTCAATAGCCCTAGATAATTTCTTCTCTGGAGGGGGGCGTGGGGGTGATGTGAATAGCAGCTCCTTTGGATAAAAGACAGCATAGCAACTGCAGTTGGATGGGTCTAGAGAACTTGGTGGAACAGGGGCACGCTCCCCTGCCTCCTGGGCATATGCTATGGAAAGGGCTGCCTTAAGGCCTCTGCTAGCTTGATGTCGCCTGCTGTGTTCTCAGGGAGCCCTCAGTGCAGTTACTGCTTTTCTCTGGGAAGGGAGGCCAGAGCCAAGCCCACCCTGAGGGCCCTGCTGATGCAGCAGCCTGCGTGCATGAGGTGGGCCGAAGAGCACGTACACTCCCTGAGGCAAACCAATGGTAGACGTGGCTCAGAGAGACCAGAAAAAACTGCCTCAGCAGGGTCCAGCAGGCTGGGTATGGGACCATCACTTGACGGGTGATCCATCTAGGTCTCCGCCCCCCCCTTGTCCACGTTTGGCCTGTGGGACAAAGCCATAGATGGCAGCACCACATAGCCACATCTGCTGCTGTGATGCCCAGAGGAAACCTCTGCTTTCTCATGTAATGCCTCTGTATGTAATGTTCACATGGCTTTTCTGGGACAATTTTGATGGTTCATACCTTCTCTGTTCTGAATAAACTTGAGTGCGATCTTCAGTTAGTCTTTCTTGGAGGGTACAGGGGGGCTGTCAGAGGAGAAGGCTCTGCTCTTTTCCAGCAGCCTCCAGTACAAGTGGTATAATGGTTGATCCTTGCGCTCTGCTCACCTGTATTTTCTCACAACTCAAATGTAAGTCAAGGAAAAGAATGTGGCTGTAAGGAGATTACAAAGACTCAGCTGGATGCTGAAACAGCTGCAGTGCACTGGGGGGCTTCCCTGTAATCTTGTTCCACGTGTTTTGGACAACAGTGGGGCTAACCCTGCCCCCTGCCGTTTGGGGTGGGGGGAGGTATTCTCCAGAAAGGTTTAAGCCAGACCCGTCCCACCACCGTGTGAGAGGGCCGCCTCCGCCCGGAGTCAGCGCGGGCCTTTCGAACCGTCCTTGCCGTCCTGAGAGAGGTTATGCATGTTTAAGGGACGGGAGGAACGGAATATCCGTTCGTCGTGATATTCGGGGCTCCTTTTCGTCCTGTGTACGTTAAGGATGCTTTCTCAGACGTCTAGGTATGACGTTTTAACTGAAGGATGGATGAGAGCTTACAGAGGTGCTTATTTCTTTTTCCAAAGTCCGCAGTCCGGGCTCGGAGTGCCTCGGAATGGCGAGAGGACAGGGACCAGCCCACCTGTACCAGATTGTTCACGGCGTTCAGAAAGAGGAAAGGCAGCGGGCTCGGCGACAGCGTGGCTGTTTTCGCCTTGCGCTTGTCCTCAGCCCGCAGGCGAGTTCTGAAAGAGGCTCCGGCTGAGGCCCTTCACTGAAAAAGGGATCACCGAAGGCAGGCGAGGGGCCGCAGGAAGGGCCCCCTTTGGCTGAAGCAAAATGG